TTATGTTTTGTTATTCACATAATGTTTCGTTCGAGTCAACCGTATCCCTTGACGGAATTATTAATATAGATATTTATAATCCAAATATTTTAAAACTTATTTATATTAAATTAGTGAAATAAGTTTTACGCAATGTTTTCTATATAAATTTCAATATAAAATAAATGATCCTTTTATATAAAAAAAACATAAATTACATGTACAATGGTAGTTATGAATGTAAGTAAAATTAAAAAAATGGTGGATTCCTACTATTTTAATTTTTCACATGACTACGGGTTAATTACTATTTTGTAATGTAGAGATTGTGGTATTATAATTACATAGTATAAAACAAAGTTGCTGTCGCTGTCTGTCCCTATGTATGCTTAAATTAATAAAACTACGCAACTGATTTTGAAGCGGTTTTTTTAATAGATAGAATGATTCTAGAGGAAGGTTTTGGTATATGTATAATATATGTACACCTATGCGAAGCAGAGGTGAGTAGCCAGTATATAATAGAATAATTTAAAAAGTAGTAAATGTAGTTTGCCTGATTACCTCATACAAGGAAAGATTTCTAGGCCCTGCAGTAGAAAACAATACACGTATATATTATGCTGTACATTAAATTGTTATTGTACCTAAATGACACCAATATATTCCCGGCTTGAAATCTCTGAAAGCTTTATTGGTAGTAATTTGTATAATGTCTAAACAAATACAGTCGCGTGTATACCTACCTATTTATACTTGTGTACATATTCAATTTGTCATTAGATCTGAATTTCAGGGAATTTCTAATTTGTTTTGTGATTTAATTTCTTCTAGGAACTCAGTACCCGGATTCTTTATATAATACGTATATTTATGAGATCCTTGAGCCAATAAAAACCTATAATTGGTATTGTCAATTACAATCCATATATAACGGCCAAATAAAACCGGTATTTTTTTCACTACCATTTGTACATAACAATATAACAGCTATAAAAAAAACACCGGTGAGTCCACGGTATCCATATTAGCCATACTAGCTGTTTTTCGTGGTTTTACACAAGTGGTGTTAGTAATTTGAGATATTAAATCTGCCGTGTTCTAAAATATATTATAAAATAAACATAAATTCTCAATTTTAATTTAATAGTAGTTCCAGCTTGGCCTTGAAAGTTAATCAGGATGAATAGTAGATGTAGATTAGGTTAATTTATTATAAAGACAAGAAAACTTTATTTTCCATTCATCCATAATTTGTACGATCGTGAAATTATTAATCTACTATCATGTGTGGCATATACATAATCAATTTGATTCAAACTTATTTTTTATGGCAACAGAGTTAATTACGTACTTATTTCGCCTATAGTTTATAATAACTTTTATGTACTCTCCTATAAAAGTAAGCAAAGTTAGCAGTATCTTTCTCATAAAATCTGTAATACACTACTCACATAAATAACTTTTCAGAGATATTTTATTTTTGTTTTGTAACAGCATATACATTCTTATCCGTCGTCGTGGGACTGTAAGCAGCGCCTCGCGTGATAAGAATAATTGAATTGAAACCTACAAGTGGAATTATTCTGGTGACACGGAACAGACCGATTATATCAGGTATAAGCACAACGCACAATAATACAGACGCACACCGCGACACGGTGTGGGATGGAGTAAAGTTGCATCTTTTAATACTTAAATACATACAGTGCTAACAAAATAAATGATTACAATTACGACGTTATAATTTTTAAAATTAATATCGCATGCTATCTGTATAGTATTAATAAAAGTCGATTGCATTGGGTTTTCTTACCTGAAACGGGTACTAATCAAAATCTTTGTGCCCCAAGCAATGCAGAACGTTAATATATATTTTTAATTATGCTTAAAAAATAAAATAAATTTAATGTTAAAGTTTGTGTTTAAATTCAGAATAGATTAAAACTGGTTGTATTTATTATTATTTGTGTATGGTCTTACCGTAATATAACCATAAAAGGCTTTCGACATCTGAGCGACCACTGTAATTTATATTGATACCTAACTCTGATGGTATCCAGAATGTAAAATTCAATGATGAAGTATGAAATATATCTATATATTTCATACCAGGAACAATTTTTTTTTGCTGTTAGAAATTATTTTTAAATAATCAGTAATTATTTCATTGAACTTTTTATAATAACGTACACATGTTTTTAAAGCCTTGTAGGTAATTGTTCCATGTTCCTTGCGATCTTCGTTTAAAAATATGGAGGTGAGTGTTAATGGAACATTTTTTAATAATATAAAATCATTTTCTTTGTAGAAAGACTGCTCTTTGAACATGTAATTTAAAACGAAAAAGCTATCTAATTAGGACGTTTGTGTGACTCGAAGGGTCGTTTTGTTCGTCGAGCGGGTAAGTAGCAACTGAATGCGTAACAAAAGTAGCTCTTGGGACTCAGGTCATGCTCGTGGAAATTCAGGACACGGCTGAGAATAATTTAATTTCTTCATTCATAGAGTTACGAATTTGCAAGTGCGTATCGGAGGGCGCGCCGTGCCACGTCGCGCCGTGTCGCCCGCCGCCGTTGCGCCGCCTCGACCGTGCGACCCTCGCGATGACGTCAACGACCCACCGCGCGCCACCCGATTATAAATATAGCCGTGGCGATAGCACGCCACAGGTTTCGGGCCTTCTTGTTCCCACTAGTTTTGTACCAAATTTCTAATCTTTCTGTAACGTCTAGTACGTCCACTGTTAATCTCTTTTTATAGTGGATTATAATGTAATAGAACACTCGACTGCGCTAACAGTATATGGTGGCGGGGCACCAGTGGGGGATGATATGGTGATTACGAGGTCAGGTCAGTTAGCTTATCGTGGCGAACTCACTAGCAATTTGACATGATGATTTCCAGGGGAACCGCGTCGACGACAACCTGACATGGTAGATGAGTTCTTTATTCACATTACTAACAATCCCCTCCCCCTAGCTTTATCTATTATAATGTAGTTTACGTATCTACTTTCACATAAAAAGATCTAAAATATATAATATATTAGACGTAAAGGGAATTCTAAGTTCAAAGTCAGGTAGAATTCTCACGGAACTATACTATGTTTATCAATAGTTGTTACTAATTACGAACAGTTTGTATGAAAATTATCATTTAGAATTAAACTAAAAATATGTTAGGTTAACATCTCCTCCTCTCAGGTTAACTTAACAAATTAAATAGTGTGTGTCATCTAAAGAGTAATATATATTAATAATAATAATAATAACTTTATTGTGCAAAAAAACAAATAAAAAAGGGACTTAACTAAGGTTATATATCTATATTAATTCATATATATACAATAGTTCTTAAAACTATTGTATATATATGAATTATTTATTACAATATATTTCTACCCTCACCACTTAATATTTGTCTAGTAGTTGATGTTAATTTTAATATTGTTATTCAAATTATTAACAATAGTTAATTAGTAATTATAGTAGCCTAAGTGGGTATATTAATAGAAACATTAAATTAGATTCTTTATATATTTTTTATATATCTACAGTAATCCTATTCTATTAAGTTGTAATTAGAACACAATTGTAACTAGTAGTATTTCATTTATGAAACTCATAGTAGACAGATATAAGTAAGTACATCAATAAATGCCTATTACAAGTGTTTCACAGTATAGGTCGATATCACAGCACTATATCTATACCTACACAAAATGAAGACATTAGAGTAAAGAGCATTGTTGAGTGAAAGCGTGTGGCTACAGCTATCTGACTTAATGGACAAGTTTACGACGCGTTAACTTGCCTATGCCGTAATTGCTATATCTATATGCCAAGTCACACTATGGCAAGATATAGTAATTAACAAGAGAGATAATACAATGCGAAAAATCAAAATTACCTAACGTAATATACACGAATTTTACTTATGATTATAAAATAATTATCGTTTATGACCTCTTATATAAGACCTGGTCAAAATGTTGTAGAGTTTGATCTGGGTCTCTTACTGATAGAGCTGAGAGCTATAGTAATAACATGTGTTCAAGTCGATTAGTCGTAAATTTTAATTAGTAAGTAGTAACTAGTTAACTTTGAAATTCGGTCAGCTAGATACGTGCAATTTATTAGTTATATTTGGTATATGTATATAAATATAAGAAAAATTATATAGGTAAGAAATATTAGAAAGCGATTGAAATATTCATATTTTAAGACTGGCAACGTCATCGTTTAGTATGTACTTGTAAACATTCAAATGAAATTTCATAGACACGGGAAATAACAGCTGATAACTATAGGGAAATACGAAACAAGAAAAAAACTAAATAAATAACAGCAAATTTACTTATAAAAAATAAATCAAATATTAATTTGCATTTCGATAATAGAAAAGGTCAAACGCATATAATTACAAATATTAGCACCATCGTATTCAGTAAACTAATTCTTTATTATATTTACATTCTCTTATACAAATTATGTTTCTACTTTTGAGTAAGAAAACATTTAAATTTTGTGTAAATATACTTTGTGGCGAGTCAGACAATTTTCACTTTCATATTATTCGCAATAATTTTCCTCATAGCCATAATTTATAACAATATGTAGCGAAACATTTTATTTTATAAGGTAATTAGTAGCTTAAAATTTTCATGTACTTCTTAACTCCGCATGCTGCTTAATTTATACTAACAGTAAAAAAGTGTATTTTTTTCAAAATTTATTGTTATTATATTTACTTGTATTTACTAAATATAAAAAGCATGGTTTTCTTTATCATTATTTTTTTCTTAGAGGATAATGTTATTCATTGTTAATATAATATAACGGCTCTTAATATTTATCACACTAGTTTTTTTTACGTTGAAATACATCCATTTTATTGATGCATAGATTTGAAGAAATTTGGAATTGAAGAACTAAATGACCACTTAATTATAATTGACGCCTTGCTTGTATTGTATTGTATTTTAAATATGAATAATATTCAATTTGTTTTTGTTCCAGATTTTACAACTGCGTTCAAAGGAACAAGTGACGTCTCTCTGAACTAAGTACAACTGACCTGAAAATAAAGAGGAGTTCTTTAAATTAACTGAAATTGAATAATGTGGTCGGGCACGGGCCCGGTGGGTGTGCACAAGCTGCTGTGTACTTAGTAGCAGGGGATGCGCGTGTGGTGGAGGGCCCGGGCGGCGCTCAGCATGCGCGTGTGCTGTGTCACGACAGTGCTCGCGGCGCTGGCGCTGCGCTCAGCGGCTGAGTCAACTCCGCGGCGCTATCCTACCGATTGGCGGGCCGGACGTGAGCTGTCGCACTCGCGTCCGCTTAACGAGCTGTTTGAACCTGAGGGGGCGCCCACAGACGCGGAGCGAGAGTACGCGCCGCGCCAACCGCCACCTCTACCGCCCGGCGCTTTGCATAAGGAGCGTCGCCGCTCGCGCAATAATAAGCGCGCTCCCCATCTGCCTTCGGAAATCGCTAGTCAAATGATGTTACGGGCCTCCCGCTCTAGTCGGCCCTATGATGTGCCCCAAATAGGTGAGTAATTTTGTTATTATCTTTTTACTGCATACCTATAATTTTTGCAAATATTATTTACTTCGGATATAAATAGCATTTTAATAGTATTCGTACTGAAGAATATAAGACTTTCATCCCTTCTAGATTCATTATTACAATTAGACGTGAAAAGGTTACAGAGTGACAGACATATTTTCTGATTTATAATATTAGTATAGATAATTAATTTAGGATTAATTCATAAAAATAACTGGTAAAGCGAAAACCTCTTAAGTCGTATTTTATATTAATAATTTATTACAAAAATATTAAGTTAAAATAAGAGGTGACCTGACAAATTACAGCGGTATCGCCACAATAAATTAGATGTCGTAAGAAGCAGTGTCAGCTAGGTACAATTAGTACATGTTTGATAGAGGAATATTGCATAATGATAATAAAAAAATTAGGAACCCGTGAGAAGTATCAGAACATTATGTATGAATACATATATTTACATACACCTATATTTACATAAGAAGAAATAAAACAATAAATCGACGTTCGACGTTGTATTGTTTAATATACAAGAAGATTAATTTTATTTTTAATCAATACATAATAGCTATTGCAATATTAAGTAGTATATAGCAAACCTCACTCAGGCATGTATAATCTATTAAAGGTATAACCATTATGAAATTACTGCCCGTTCCACCTACCACGAATGGTAGCCTTATGACAGGTTGGTAATAACATCCAGGCAACATTGTCAATTGATTCCAGGGGGAAATCTGTAACGTCTATTCCGTATGGCCGATGTCAATTATTGTAATATGTGTCTACGTACAGTACACAGACATATCCTCGTTCTCATTGTGCTGTTATCTACATCATTCGTGGAGTAACATTGAGAAACATTGAGTATTACTGATCGAGTAAATCGTAGTTACTGTTTATTGTAACTAGCATAAAATAGTTAATAATAAGATACAGTATGTAAAAAGAGGTCCATTTTATTATCTTACTAATATAATACACGAAAATTTGTGAGTTTGGATAGATAGATGTTTGTTACTCTTTTAGGCAAAAACTACTGAATGCATTTTGACGAAACTTTAGAGTGATATCAGAATAACACATATGTTATAATTTAAAAAGATATTTTGTAAATTGGCCGAAATATATCGATAAATGACAAGTACGTGCATCACACGTGATGATACAGATGAAGTTGCGTGGGTCAGTTGGTAAATTGAATAAATCTCACTTATACTACAATATAAAAAATACAAATGCGTTACCAACATATTCCATATTTTTGTGAAAGTAGATAACTATATTACTATCGATATTACTTATATTGTATAATTTACGAATCTATACTTACAGCCAAGTTGTAAATCTTATTCAGCAGTCGGGTACAAATAAATATTAAGTTACAACTTTTACAGGGTAGTAAGACGTTGACGTCAAGAATCTCATTACTGTGTTTTTATAAGTAGGAACCTGGTGCGTTTCAAATTAAACGCCGCTGATGTACTTAGGACCAACTAATCGGATTATTTGACTTACTGTCCCCAGTTGTATTCATATAGAATATTTTTAGCTCAAGTATTACTATTCAATTTACTTTATCCTAAACATTTCCTTAATTAGGTATCTTATTACGGAATATCTGTTCGATTAATCGTCTGGTTTTTATATATAGCATTTAGATATTGGAATGTTATTTATTTATTGTATAAACATCCAACAACACACTCATTTTTAAGCCAATCTACATATATATATATATATATATATAAAGACTCCTATTGTTGGTGGCACTGACTGGCACTGAGTTCTATAGCAATTTCTCTGAACTCTGAACGGAATGAGTGCTTAAGAGTTAATAGAACCAAAGACTGTGGGTACTCGGTGCAAACCGTTATTGCTTTAAAATTAAATTATTTTAGGATTGCGAAAAAGCTTTATTATTATTTCTTTTTAAAAATTATACCCACCAAACCCTTTCAAATAAAATTACCGTTATTTGTTTATACTTCTCATTTTATGAATAAAAAATATATTATATTTTTATTTCAAATGAAATTGGATTTTTCTTTCATAATTTAGTGAAGTGAAGGAACAAAATTAGAATTAATTACAAAACTAGCAGCTACCCGCAAATAGTTCCTCTGGATAACCCCTTTCTTATCGAAATATATAACATTTCTAAACGAAAAGTAACCTAAGTCACTCCTTATAACGTTAGTTAAATGTGATGTGAGTGAAGTTAGCCAACGCTATAAGGAACAAAAGTGAAGACTTTGTCAAAGTCGGGTCAACCGTTTCAGAGTATATACCTTATTATATGCATTTTATGGAAAGTTGTTACTCTGAAATTACATACAGACATTTTAATTTAATTTATTCGAATAGATTAAAATAATGGTGGAGTTATTTTATTATATACCATATTTCAGGTTATGATTTGTCACAGTTTGGAAATAATATTTAATTTTGAAATAATATTACTTTAACTATTTCCCTAGGTAACTCGTTATAAATAATTTCTGCAGATTACTTTTTTTGCAGAATAGAACTCGAGTGTTAGGTTTCATACATTTTTATAGTAAGGTGGATGAATGTATAGACAAAAATAAGACAATATTCGGGTACAGAGTAGAATAAATTGAAATCGACAACAATTTTTTTTTTAAATTGATGTTTTTTTGATTGGATTTACTTAATTAAATTTAAGTGTTCGTTCATTATACCACATTTTTTTTAAAAAGAATGGTAATAAATGACATGACATAACATGACAATTATGTGGCTATCTATCGCTATCCCAAGAAAGGAAGTGAATAACGAGATAACTGCGAACAGGGATGAAATGAAGAGGCAGAAAATATATTCTGCCGACTCCAAATAAATGTGTTAAAAAGAAGCATGTAATGAGTATACTGTACTGTCTACTATTACTATGGTGCAATTTTAAACTGGAATCTTTCGTTATATCCACCACCCAGCGATGAAAGCGAGTGAGATATGTTGTTTAGGGTCATATTTCGAGTTCTTATGCTGCAAGCTCGCCTTTTTGCCATAAAAAATGAACATTCTTCCGATAGCTATATAGTATTGTTTTATTTCTTAATTTCTAATGTTGGGTCATTTACCTTATAACGAGATTCACGATTTCTGAGATCTAGACACCTATTTAATATTGATTTAATGATTTTACGTTCCCTGTAATTCGTCAAATACAGAAAGATAACAAGATATATAGAGAGTATAATTAGATTCTAAACCATGCGTGCCATATATTCGTAAGCCCCACCTACTGTGACGTCACGTCATTGTGAAGACTTAAGTTACAAGTTGCGTGTAGTCTATTATACGTATGTATTACAGGTATTACTATTAATTGACGACCTTGGTGGTGTAGGAGTTTAACACTCACCTTTCGACATCATGGGTTCAATTCCTACACGTAACATATATATCTATTGTTATTATTAATTGACGACCTCGGTGATATAGCGGTCTAGCACACCGCTTTATATCCGATGGTCGCGGGTTCGACTCCTCGCACGGCACAAACATTTGTATTCATGAGTATGATTGTTTGTATCGGTCTGGGTGATTCTATATATTCTATATACATACATATTGTTCTATATTCTATATTCTATATACATACCTACGAAAAAAAAAATATCTATGTACTTGTATCAGTTATCTAGTACCCATAATACAAGCTTCAGCTAGCTTAACTTGGGTCTAGATGGCGCTGTGTGAATTGTCCTGAGATTATTATTATTATTTTTTTTTATTTTCTCTCAGCTTTTGCTGGTTTTTTATTATTATTATTATAGATTATTATATTATTATTATAGAATGATTACTTTTGCCTATATTTTTTATTAATAAAAATGGTGCAGGTTTGTTAAAAAATATTTCCATATATCTAACGATTTTTTAGTACCTCTAGATTAAAATTCAAACAAAACAATACTTTTTTAGATTTTCTGATAGATTGAGACCCGTTTTTCAGGTGTGTTCGGGGTAATTTTTCTATTTCTTTTAATTTAAAAATTGACTTATATATCTCATAGCATTACTAGAGGCTAGAAGTGAAGTGTGTAATGTAAAGTTTACTACTTTAGTTGCCGGTTATTTAACCACGGCATAAATTTTACTCATAGTTAAAACTCAATTATTGAAAAATATTTTTTAATTCCCAGATAGTTTTGGGAATTTGTATTCAGAGTTATTAGAAAGTCGTCTTATGGCACATATTTGTGATAGTGTTATGAAATGAAATTTATGAATAAAACCTTCTCTTTTTTTACTAGAATAGTGATTTAGGCAGGGTCTATCTCATAACGTTATTCGATTACTTCGATATGCGACGTAATAGGCGCCGGATATCGTTGTGTGTTCCACCATTGAGAAGCGTCTCGCCACGTACGGGCCGTACGTGCAATACTTACCAATACCCAGCCTTCTCATACCTTCGCAAACTTTCGTCTAAATATAGCTGACGATTTTACAGCTGGAAAGTTATTTTCTTATACAATGACAATATAACGTTTATGAGGTACTATTATGGTCGTAGAGATAAAAACACTCCTAGATTATTTTTATTTATTCAGGCGACTTAATTTTTTACATAACAATATTAGCCCACATGACTTAAGGACTTTTCTACATAGAAAGTAATAATATATAACACTATAAGATTGCCTTTGTGATTACCTCACTAGGTATGTATATGGTAGAAGAACTAGAGAAACTGAAGAAGAAGTGTGACCTGACTTACACAACTTGTTTACGTAGCCAATTGGCTATTAATATTTATTAACAATAAAAACTGTGTTATTGTATTATTCATTATTAGTTTTTTAATAAATTTGTTAGCTATAATGCCACATATGTCATTGCGTGTACAATACTTATACTATACTATACACCACTCTGTAATTTCTATTGGAAATACTAAATATTCTATAATTACGGGTCAGGTTAAAACAATTTTTCTCATTACAGTG